AAATTTTCCCATTTGTAAATATTTTCATTTCTGAGGAAGAGACAGCTGTCTCTATAAGCAGCACCAATTGGAGTCTGCAGAAATGTTACAAAAATAGCCTTTATTAGTTGGTTCCCCCTGCAAGCCCACACTTCTCTCATTTAGTCATTTCTCCTTTGTTAAAATGCGGTCTAGGCTCCCAGACCCAGCCAATTGGGTTTTCCCTTCTTTGGAGCCCTGCTAGGCCTGGTGAAATACACTTTTCCCTTTAAATCTGCCTTAAGGCGGCTTACTATGCAGTTTTCAGCTGTTGAAGCTAATTAAGAAGGCAGAGGAAACCTTTATCCTAGGAATATCCAGGAAATAGGAAAGGATAGTCCCTTGGCTTGATCTGACATTTCTCTTAATAGAAGCACAAGATTGGTTGGTTTGTGTGTGGAATGGGTGGGGTGTGCACTTTGCCTACAAATGGTACAGGGAGCTTGGGAAATTGGGGAGAGGAGGAGCCATTGGGTTGATCAGAGTTGTGGTAGTGCCTATCTAGGAACTCCTGGAATTTGTACCTGCACAGACTGAAAGGCAGTCACCCTATAAATTTCACTGGGGAGAATTGAAACCGGGAGGCAGGAGCACCTGGGCATATTAAAATCATATCAGGGAAACCAGGTCCAGGAGTTTATGGGACAGAAAAGATTGTGGAAAGAGTATAACTCTGGCCCGACCCCTGTTAAGTGTTGGATACTTAACACTGCGATGACCTGGCTCTATCGAAGCCTATCATAGCATAACTGTGGTGTATGTCAAGGTCCAAGGACTTCCTGACGCTGTCCCCACTGCTGACCCAGCCTACTCCACTGTCTGCCTGTCTGCCTATTCATCTGTCGGGCTCTGGACCTGATCCTCCATTTCCTGTTCTCGACCCAGCCGGGCTTGTTCACCTTGCAGATGATTTCTGCGGCTTCTTTCTCGACCCCGACTTCCACCAGCACTGGTCTGTCCCATGTCTTAGCAATACAAACGCGGTCTGCTCCGGAACCTCTTGAGCTCTGCTTCAGTCTCTTTAACATGTCTTCATTCTGTAATCCATGCATATGTAGAGAGACATTGTAAGTGTATGACTGTATGCTGTATGAGTTAATGTTAGTCATTAAGATTGGAATAAAGAACTTGAATCCACCTAGCCCAAGGTATCAAAGTAGGCAGATTTTATGGCAAATTACTGCCATTGAAATAGGACCCAGGTTCAATGCCCAGAACACACATGGGAGACTCACAACTGTCTGTAACTCCAGTTCCAGGGAATCTGACATACATGCAGGCAAAACACCAGTGCACACAAAACAACAAATTAATCATTTTTTTTTTAAAAAGAGATCACTAAACTTTGTGAATGTATTATTAATTCAATAAATTCTGACTTTCCCACATTTTGGAAAGACCCGAAAGTGCTCATTTATGTTTCTGGCATTGTGCACTCCGGACATAAACTTGGGGAGAAGTCCCTGATCCCATTTCCAATGTCACTACCACACCTGCTCTCCTTTTCTTCTGTGGCGTTGCGTCTTCGAAAGCAGGGATGGTTGTGTGCACGTCGCTGGTCAGTGGTAATGACTGCGGTTGGAAAGTGAGGGAGGTTCACATTGAAGGCTTGGAGCTTGGCTCCGAGGAAATGCATTTTAAAAAGTACTCTGTGAGGTAGCTCCCGGAAGCTCCTGCGCTTAAATTGTATTCCCTAATTTATTTCGAATAGAAATGGACGGAGTATTAGATGTCTTTAATGACATCACAGGGAGAGTCAGACTGCTTATGTGGTCAGAGGGTTCCATCTGCTTTTGCTCCCACAGTCACAGAATTAAAGGACATTGCCCTCCTTTCGTTTCCCAGGAAATTCAGTCTTTGTAGCAAAAATGCAAACAAAACAAAACACAACACACTCCAATAACCACTTAAAGGTCTATTTGGGTCTCCTGATAATGTCTGAGAAACAAAAACCAAACAACCAAACAAAAAAACCGACAAATCACCACTCATCACTCAAATGACTAATTTGGTTTCCTGATATTGCCTAGAGACCAGAAACTTGAGACCTTAAAACTGGTGTTTTCAAATAGTGAACTCCTAGATACCACGAGGTAATTTGGTTCTCAACAATCCATTAATGTTGGTTTATTTATTCTCCCCACCCATGTCCCCTCCTCCATATAGTTTTTCTTCATTTTATTATGAAGCACATTCCAGATATACTTCATCAAGTGTGTGTGTGTCTGTGTGTGTGTGTCAGTGTGTGTGTGTGTGTCAGAGGAACGGTTGATTTACAACTGGTGAGTGAGACTTTTCTATCACTATGTGAGACTTGAGACTGGCACCCAAAGTGTAGGGTAGCTGTATCTCCTTAGTCCTGAACTGATGAGTTCTGACTCCACCCCCCAGCAGACCTATCAGAACTGAAATGACATTTAGGACAGCAGAGTGGTGTCCAGTTGAGAGCTGTTTGCTGTGTAGACAGATTCTTCCATAACACATTAGGTCCCAGAGATGTTCTACACAGTGCCAGTGGAGAGGAGGAAAGTACCCCCCCCCCAGCTCCCCCTGGCTTCTAAGAGGATCCCATCTAACAATTCTCTTTATTATGGCAATACCCAGCACATCAGCTGCTTTCTTCTTCAGGGCACCCATTATTTATTTGGCTCCTTTCCCATTAGAATATAAATTAGGACACCCTTTCATGTTTTAAAATCGCAGGCTAGAACTAGAGAGGGTACATAATGGGGGCTCAAATAGCAGAAGTTTTCCCATAAAGGCAATTAGGTGATTCTACACTGCAAAAGCCCAATTTCCTCTTGCTTCAATTTTCCAGCAATAGTGGCCGTTATTGACCATTTTCTCTTCCAACTACCGTATTGCTACTTCCCTTTTTTGTTTTCTTCCTTTACACTGTGTGTGTGTGTGTGTGTGTGTGTGTGTGTGTGTGTGTGTGTGTGTTTGTGTGTAGAGGTCAGAGGACAGCTTTATGTGAGTTTCTCCTTTCACTTTGAAATGGTGTCCTGGCTTTCTTTTTTTTATGGCTGTGATTATAATATTCTGACCAAAAGCAACTTGAGGAGGACAAAGTTTATTTCTATCTCATAGCTCCCAGTTCCTCACTGAGGGAAGCCAGAGCAGGAACCAGAAGGCAAGAACTGAAGCAGAGGCCATGGAGGAACACTGCTGACTGGCGCCATCTCCAATGGCTTGTTCAGTCTGCTTTCTTAGACAACTCAGGACCTCTCTCAGTGAACTGGCCCTCCCACATCAAGAAAATGTTCCTACAGATTTGCCTCCAGGCCAATCGGATGGGGTTCCCTCTTCCCAGATGACTCTAGCTTGTGCTGACAACAACAAAAAACCAACCATATAGGTGTCAGGGATCAAACTCCAGACTTGGTGGCGAGGTCCTCTATCCGTTGAACCACTTCCCTGTTCTGCTTCCTGTCTTTCTTTACCAGAGATTATTTTTGAGATTATTTCTAGGATCGTCCACTCAAGATAGAAACAGCAGTATTCTCATAGCTTGGGCCTTCCTGCCTTCTTTGCCTTGTCTAAATTTTACGACGACCTGTCTCTTTCTCTATTAGTAACATAACCAGACTTACATTGGCTTTGAACTCTTGGTGTGGCTATCTTTTGTCCACGTGGTCTTCCAGCTTGGATACTTAACACTCAGCTCAGATTCAACCAATTAAGGCAGAGATGAAGGGGGTGGGCACCCATCCGCAGGGTGAGCACTCACCAGGGTCGTTCCAGCACAGCGGAGGGCCGGCCACTAGCTGGAAGGAGAGCAGGCGCAACAGCGGGCGGCGCGCGGCTCTATTATCTTTGGGGTGTTTTAAGGTTGCTGGGTTCCACTCAAAGCTTCCCATTTTGTTCTAATTCCCAGAAACTTACTTTGCCTCACTGTCCTTGCCTGCCTGCCTCTCTCATGCCTCTTATTTAGAATTTACAAATTCTTCACGGCATCCACCTGGTCCGTACTGATAAATGTGTAAAATGCTCAACCTAAAAAGGCTAAGCGGATGATTGATGGCTCCTCAAAACATAGCCAGAGTGAGGTGGGGGGGTGGGGTGCTAATCCGCCGCGCCCAAGGTTAGGTTAGACCCCTGCTTTTTTTTTTTTTAAGGTGAGTTCTTTTCTTACTATTCACGCCTCAAGCTTCCAAGTCATTTCCAGAATTTGTCTCTGGTGCGTATTATCTTGTTATATTTTTGATAACAAATTTACTACTACTTATTATTTTTAGTTTGTCTTTGTGCTACATCATCCTAAGTTTCCCGAATACAAGGACCTTGTTATTTCCCATGGCTAAAACAGTGGCTGTTTTATGTTATTTATGTATTTATGTTATTTATGTATTTGTTGAATGAACGCATCCAAGAATCCTCAGACTCGCAGGATTTCAAGTGCTGAGAAACGTTTCACTCGGGTGGCGCGGCGTGCAAAGGTTCCGAGCTCGGAAACCACAATGCCATTCCGTTGGTACCTTTCACCAGATTCCTACAGGACAGGGTACTAGAACACTAGTCCTAAGCAGGACGTCCTTTGTGTATACGTAGTATACTAAACTGCTTCCTTGATTTCCCTTCCAGAAAGTTTTTAGCCTCTTTTTTTGTTGTTGTTGGTTTTCGAGACAGGGTTTCTCTGTGTAGTTTTGGTGCCTGTCCTGGATTTCGCCCTGTAGACCAGGCTGGCCTCGAACTCACAGAGATCCACCTGGCTCTGCCTCCCGAGTGCTGGGATTAAAGGCGTGCGCCACCACCGCCCGGCAGTTCTTAGCCTCTTAAACCGGGGTAGCGTCGCACTAACCGAACCTTCCGGAACTTTCCCCGCACTCACACGACCAGACACAACGCGCCTGACCCGGTCTGAGCCTAGACTCCGCCCACGCGACAGCACCCCCGTCTGGCCCCGCCCTCCAAAGAGGCGGGGCCCCGGGGGTTGGGGCAGGACGCGGCCAATCACGGACGCCAACGTGCCGCAGCGGCAGTGACGTCAGGGTGGCGCAGGTCGCAGAACGGTCGCGCCGCGCCGCCGTCCGTCGGTTTCTCTCTCGGTCGCGGGTTCCCCGGGGTCGCCGCGCAGCGGCGGGAGCACTTCCGCAGCGGACCTCGGGCCGCCGAGCGCCGTCTTCACCCAGCGCCATGGCCGTGGTCGCTGTCGGCCGCCCGGGAGTCGCGCGCCGCCCGCTGTTGCACCTGCTGTCCTTCCTGCTAGTGGCCGGCCCCGCGCTGTGCTGGAACGACCCTGGTGAGTGCTCGCCCCGCGGAGTGGTGCCCACCCCCTTCATCGCTGCCCTGCTGACTGGTTTCCTCCGGTCTGTCCTCTCCTGGCTCCTTGGCTTTTCTGTACCCTTCCTGGCTTCTTTGATTTTTTTTCCCCCCCCGGAGTGGGCGAGGCGCACGATTCTGTTTTTGAAAGTTCCTTTCTCCAGGTCCTGGACTCTAGGCCTCATCCGCGAGTCCTGATGACAAGTTAGACCCTCACCTGCGCATCTTGTCTTGTTATCATGACTGTTTGATGTCATCGTCTCCCACCGTTGCCATGGATGCCTGTTGCTATGGCTCGTAGTTACCATGCCACCAGCAGTCTCTGAGTCATGCTTAGGAGCCAGGTCCGCAAATTGGGGAATTCTGGATTGTATTGATTGGTTTTTGAAAACAGAAATCCCGCTGTTTATTCTAGTTAGTGCCGCGAACTGCCTTGTTTACCTTCTTATTTATCTTTGTCTTCATTACTTTTCACTGCACGTGGGAATTTAAAATACTATTTCTTAACTTTTAGGTGACGATATATGAGAATTGATTATCAGGGAGGTGGCGCTATATATGTTGTTAAAATGCAGAAATAAACTATGCGTCAGTTAAAATGACATTTTTGGTTCGGAGAGGAAAGCTGTCAGGCGTGAAAAATAGCAATGACAGAGCATGCTTGAGTTTTGAATTTAAGCAACAGGTTTATGTTTGTAAGTTACTCTGTTGTGTGTACTGGAGCGAGGCAGTGCAGTTGGTCCCCACTTTACACGGAGTAACCTTTAATTTGAAAAGGGTGCTTTGTTGTCAGGAGTTAAGAAGCCGCGGTGGTTATGCAATACCTGTACGCAGCCGGGTGGTGGTGGCCCACGCCTTTAATCCCAGCACTCGGCGAGGCAGAGCCAGGCGGATCTCTGTGAGTTCAAGGCCAGCCTGGGCTACAGAGTGAGTTTCAGGAAAGGCGCAAAGCTACACAGAGAAACCCTGTCTCGAAAAACAAAACAAAACAACAACAAAAAACAAACAAACAAACAAAAAAAACAAAACCCCTGTACGCTTTGCATAAGTAATCCTTGAAGGTTGTGTAAAAAATGAGAGACCTGATTAGAATTCGTTTAAAACATGGGGAAGTTGAGATGTAGACTCAGGGGAATTAGAAGAAAAAAACAAAACAAAAAAAAAAACCACATTTAAATTCATGGTGAACCACTTCCTGGTGGTTCATTGTCTACTTTTGCTGTAAAAATTATTGTTCTGGAACAGAAATCACCAAACTATTTTGCAGTTTTTTTTTTTTTTTTTTTTGGTTTTTCGAGAAAGGGTTTCTCTGTGTAGCTTTGCGCCTTTCCTGGAACTCACTTGGTAGCCCAGGCTGGCCTTGAACTCACAGAGATCCGCCTGGCTCTGCCTCTCGAGTGCTGGGATTAAAGGCGTGCGCCACCACCGCCCGTCCTATTTTGCAGCATTAACTCGATTGGTGTCAACCTCATTTTAAGATTTTTAGGAACTGTCTTATGAAGATAGCTGATTGGAATGTCAACTATTAAGACTCAGCTAAGCAACTTCCTAATTTATCCTTTGTTTACTTTGTCTTTAGGTAATATAGAACACTCAGGAATATGTCTGGGGGGAAACACCATTCTAAGATTAGTTAAAATTTTTCAATTTTTTTTCTTGGTATTTCCTCCAAGCTAGTACTTTGAATGCTGAAAGTATAGCTCTGAAGAAGTGTCTTGTCCCCAAGGAACTTGCATCTGTTGAGGTGGAGTAGACAGTAAACATGCAATAGCTCGTCATGTGGTGAAGTGAGCTATGGACAATGGTAAACCGAGGCGGGTGGACTCTGCAGGCAGAAGTGGGGACTGAAGTATACATCGGTCTCGGAAGACGCCATCATTTTTAGAAACCTGAAGGCAGGGAGGCCTAAATGATAGGATTCAAATTTTTGAGAAAGTTCATGTGGGCTATCCTTGGAAAACAGGCTGAAAAAAATGGGTGGGAAGGAAGCATCAGCAGCCTAGTGAAAAGGTGTCAATAGTGGGTTCCAAGAGCAGTGACCCCTTTAGGTCAAGGGAGAGCCAGTGGAGTTGGATTGTCCCAACTGTTTTGAAGTTGGGTATTCTGATGGGGTGTCCGTGGGGGAGATAAGGATGGTGGTGGTGGCACACCCCTTTAATCCCAGCACCAGGAGGCAGAGGCAGACAGATCTCTGAGATTGAGGCCAGCCAGGTCTCCAGAGCATGTTCTAGGATAGGCAGGGCTGTTACACAGAGAAACCTTGTCTAAAGAAAAAAAAAAAAAAGAAGATAAGGATGGTACAAGAGTTCTGGCTTGAGTGACTGAAGTGTTAATCAGTTTCCTGAGATGCTGGGAAGTGTGGGGAGAATTGAGTTCAGGGGCCTGGTTTCATTTATCGCAAGTCTGATACCTGAGAAAAGCTTTTGAATGATTTGCCTGGAGTTCAGGGGATTCTGTGTGAGCTTTGCCTGATGTAACAAGTGGGAGTGGGTATAAGTTAGCATTTTGTTCTTAGACCTGAAGACTCTCTAGAGGATGGTGCTCTGGGGGTTATGGTAATTATACTCTTGTGTGTGTAGTTCTTAAAATATTCTTGGTCCTGTTTCTCATACTCATCACCTACTATGCACCTAATATTCAAATATCCTGCCTGGCAATTTTAAAAAATAATATCTAAGGTTTATGATAAATTTAAAGATTACTATCTCAGTTTTACAGGTGATGAAACTTATGAACAGACAAATTTATTGTCTCAGCCAAGGTCATATTAAGTTGGTAATGTCATTTCAGTGTTCTTTGCATTATTTAAGCCTCCTATGGTAAATTCAAGCTATTCCTCTTAGTTAGCTTATTCATAGCTAAAAATCATGGAACATTTTCATTAGTTTAGTTTTTTTTTTGTATGAGGTAGTAATTTGTATTTCTTATAGCAAACTTTAATATAGATCTTGAAAGTTTTAGGTTTTTTTTTTTTTTTTTTTTTTTTGGGACACTATTTTGTATGTATGTAGTTCAGGCTAGCCTTAAACTTAAGGTGCTCCTGCCTGGGCTTCCAAAGTGTTTAAATTTTAGATCTTTATCCCGTATTGAATTTTGTGTGTGGCTGCAGGTGGATTTTCTTCTAGCTGCATCATAGTTATGTTGCTTCCATTTATTAAAGATGATTTTTTCCCTTATTTTTGTTGTTAGCTTAAGTATTGTGTTCATGGTCAGCTGAGCTTGTTAACACTATGTAATGAAAATGCATGAAGAATAATGTGGCAGTTTTTGATTAGGTTTAAGTCAAACATTCATTAATAAGGACTCTTCAGATGTGAACTCTAGAAATTTGCTGAAGCTGTCTCATCAAAACTGCTTCTGAATAGCACCTTTGGGATTGGATTAAACTCAGTGATTTATTTTTATTTATTTTTGTTTTTGGTTTTTTTGAGAAAGGGTCTCTATAGTGTGTTTTTTTTTTTTTTCTTTTAATTTTTTGAGACAAGGGCTTATGTAGTCCAGGCTGGCCTCAAACCCTTCTTAGCCAAGGATAACCATTAGAGTGGTACTAAATCCTTTTGGGGGTTCATAAGAGAGAGAGAGAGCATCTGTTTATTCTGCTTTCTGCCTTGCTGGTTAATCACTGCATTGAAGCGGCCTTATCTTTCTTAAGTTACTTTCTCCTCACTGGATAGGAGAACAATTTGTGTAATGATCTTGGCACTGTTCCAGAGTTTTACCACTAATCACTCCTTGTCTGAATCTGTCTCCTAAGGGTTAGAAAATGAAAGTGAAAACTTTTTCCAATTCTTTCCATTTTAATTATTAGCTAGTATTATAACGAATGAAGTGGAGCTTTCCCTTAACAGCTGAGGCTGTTTATGATTAAATTCCTGCTGGGAAATCAGGCTGCATGTTAAATTTTAATCTTTAATAACTATTTTTAAAGTAGGAAGTAATTGGTTGCCACTTTAGCAATGAGCAAATTTTTGATATTCACTGAGTATCATGATTTCTCATTTCTGTAATTTTCATGATTTGATCCACTATTTGTTTTTAAAATATAGTATAATTTATATTGTAAATGAGAAAAAGTAATAGTATTTCAAAATTTGAAAAAAGGTAACAATTGATACTGAATGCATTGCTTTTATTTTCTCTATGTTTTGAGAGTTTTGGGATATAGATAAAGAGGATGAGCCAAGTTTTGCAACTGAAAATATTTATTAAAACGTAGGCAGGATGTGTTGGTGCACGCCTTTAATCCTAGCACTCGGGAGGCAGAGGCAGTAGATTTCTGTGAGGTCTACAAAGTGAGTTCCAGGACAGCCAGGTCTGTTACACAGAGAAACTCTGCCCTGGTAGTACCAGTTTGTAAACCAGCCAGATGGCTGAGTGGGTGAAGGTGCTTGCTGCCAAGCCTTGATGACCTGAGTTCTGATCCCTGGGACCCACATGGTGAACAGTGCCCACAAACTGTCCTCTGACCTCCACGTGTTACTGGTGTGCACTCAGATGTATATACACCAATAACCAATAAAAATTTAAAAATCCCTATTTTTTTTTTTTTTTTTTTTTTAAAGGTCTCATGTTGCTTAGGCTGGCCTTGAACTCAGTGTGTAGCCGACCTTGGCCTTGAACTGGTTCTCCTGTTTCTGCCTCCTAAATGTTGGGGATAAAATTTTGTTAATACTTTAATAAACTGGATAAAAAAGGTGAGGGAAATGTGCAGTTATAGAACTGTGTGTCAGTCAGGTCAGGTCCCTGCAGGAGGAATTCCCAGGCTGGTTCATTCATCAGTGAGGACACAGAACAACCACCGTGTAGATTTACTCATTGTCTTGTTAGCTAGCTTTGCATCTCTCTGCCTGGAATCAGAAGAAAATTCTGGAGCCTCTCCCTTCCTTTCTTCATCTTACTGAAGCTGAATTTTGAGTAAACACAATCTTGAACGCAGCTGTCGGCCAGAAGAAATCTCTGATCAGAGAAAATCTCCATGACTATTAACACCTACCGTTAGTAAGACTGAAGTCATCTTACATCTGCTCCCGTTTGAGCAGCTCTCAGTGAATCACTTATCTTGCTGGTCAGTCTTTTGCTTCGCTTATCAGTTTTGCTGTTGTTTGGGACAGGATCTGGGTAGTTAGCCCAGCTTGGCCTCCAGCCTCCTAAGTGCAGAGGTAGAGACGAACTGTGTGGCGGGATCTTTCTTGGCTGTGCATACTCCATTTCCCAGCCCCATTTATTCACTCACTCCTCCACCCCACATCCCCACTGAATTAAAGTGCCTCATAGTCGACCCACAATTCTGAGTACTGGATTCAATTTCTAATTGTGTGCTAATTATGGTGCAATTTCTATTTATATTTAACTGTTTATATACTTAAACCAGATGTTTGTACATGCACGTGCTGGTGCCTGTGGATGCCAAAGAGGGCGTTAGATGCCCTGGAGAAGCTTTAGCCAGTTAACCTCTCATGGCTGTAAACATTGAACCTGCTCTTGAGGCATTTTAGTGTATAAGGCCAATTTTAAATTTGTTTGGATGTCTGTCTGATAGGTAAAGTGTAAGTGGAGATCTGTATCTGCCAACATAAATGGCTGACCATGATTATGATTAAGAAATGAAGAGGCCTAGTGAGATAGCCCAGTGTGTAAAGGTACTTGCCACACAAGCCTGATGAGTTTGATCTCCTGAACGCAGAGAACTGGCTCCCGGAAGTCACCCTCTGATTCCTCACATGCGCAATGGCATGGGCACCTGTAAACCCTTACACACACTAAGGAAAAAGTTTAAAGAATGGTACTTACTGTATGTCTCAGTTTTTATTAGGTAAACTAATAAGTATCTAAACAGCGTATTTTTGTTACAATCTGGTTGGGTAATTTTTAGGCTAGTAATTGTGGTTATCACAAAAATGGGGAGCTGGAGAAAATAGGATTGGCTTTTAAAAAGAAAAGATGAGCTGGGTGGTGGTGCAGCAGATCACACCTTTAATCCTAGCACTCGGGAGGCAGAGGCAGGTGGATCTCTGTGAGTTGGAGGCCAGATTGGTCTACAGAGCGAGTTACATGACAGCCAGGGTTACACAGAGAAACCTTGTCTCAAAAAAAGAAAAGAAAAAAGAAAAGAAAAAGAAAAGGAAAAGGTTAACACTAGGATGGAACTGTGGGCAGCATAGCCCTTATTCTGTAATAGATTAAAGAAATTAGCTGGTGGGCTGGTTTGGCCAAGACAGCGGAAGTCCCTGCTGGTGAGAAATTCTTGCCCTCATTTTCCTATGGGCTGGTGCTTTAGAGAGGCAGTGTTTGGGGTCTCCTGGCAGAGCCCCCTTCCCAAACTTCCCATCCTGCTTTCTGACAAGTATTATGAGGCTTGAGACTGCTCCCTTTTCTGACCAAGTGCCTGCAATGTCCCAACTCCCTTTTGAGGTAAAGCAGAGGCCAGCCATGGCCTATGGGAGGGGCCGGTGCCCTGCCTCACTGTTATTCTTATGGAGTATACAGAGTACTTCCTCCAGAGTCGGTGTTTTTCCTTCTGCCCTGAGATACTCATCTGAGTTCTGTATTTGGTTACTTATACCTGTGCATGTTTTCTCAGTAAGTGTGCTTACGTCAACAAGAATGTGTGTAGACATTAGTATGTAGTGACTTTCACCTTTTTTCAACACTGTCATTTCCATTTTGTGTAAAAAGTTTTTGCCATTTGTCTGGTTTGACACACGAGTTCTAGTTTCCTTGTTTTACACATGCTACATAGTTCTCTCTCTTTCTCTCTCCTCTCTCTCCCTCTCTCCTCTCCCCTCCACCCCCAGTTTTATGAGACAGGGTTTCTCCGTGTAGTTTTGGTGCCTGTCCTGGATCTCGCTCTATAGCCCAGGCTGTCCTCGAACTCACAGAGATCCGCCTGGGTCTGGCTCCTGAGTGCTGGGATTAAAGGCGTGGGGAGCTCTGCTGCTTCTTGGTATTACTCCAAAGACCCCAAACCAGCCCACCACATGGCTGCCTGCGCACCATAGGTGGATAGATGGCCGCGCACCGTAGGTAGATGCCTGTGCACCATAGGTAGATGGCTGCACACCGTAGGTAGGTAGATGGCTGTGTACCAGTGTCACTACGGTTCACAATAACTGAGTTATGGAACTGACCTGGGTGTTGAGCAACAGATGAATGGGTAAGGAAAAAGGCTTATATACACAGTACAACTTGTTGGAGCCATAAAGTTATGTCATTTGCAGGAAAGTAGATATAACTGGAGATACCAGACTGATTGCATGGATTTTCACTCATTTGAGGGTCCTAGACATTATAGAAACAGAGCACGTGTGTACTGATCACTGAAAGTGGAAGTCTAACTGTCTGGGGAATAAAGGGCACCAATGGGATGGGGGAGAGGATGGAAGGGGGCTTGGGGATGGGGGAATAGGCTCAAAGTACATTATTTATGTGCTTGAAAATGTTATGTAATCCTGTATAATAATAGTAAATAATAATAATAATAATAATAATAATAATAATAATTATGGCTGTCAAGATGGCTGAGTGCATAAAGACAGCCATGATGTTTTGAGTTACATACCCAGAGCCCATGTAGTGGAAGGAGAGTGTGGACTCCCTAGAGTTGTGTTCTGACCTCCACACACATGCCAAGGCATGTGCACATTGTTGCCCTGTGACATGCCAACTGCCCACACAGTAAATGAATGTAAAAAGTAAAACTAAAGAATAAAGAGGTTGTATTCTAATTATATAATGGAAAAAACTAGGTTAGAATCTATCCTTTCTTTTAATGGGTAGACATTTAAGTCACTGAATGTTCTTTAGGGACATTTTTGTGTATTTTTGCCATTTTTAATCAACTGAATATTTTTTTTTAAAGATTTATTTATTATGTATACAGTATTCTGTCTGCATGTATGAGTGCAGGCCAGAAGAGGACACCAGATCTCATTACAGATGATTGTGAGCCACCATGTGGTTGCTGGGAATTGAACTCAGGAACTCTGGAAGAACAGTCAGTGCTCTCAACCTCTGAGCCATCTCTCCAGCCCCTTAACTGAATATTCTTATATAGTAGTTTGATATTAAACTTTTCTGAGTTAGCAAAAATTATGTAGGACTCATGATGAAGCAACACCTAGCTAGCTTTAAGTGATGAGAGGTTTAAATGGTCTTCTGAGTTTTGTATGAAAGGCCTGGATGCTGTTAGGATGGCCTTGTGTCCTGTCTCAGTCCCCTCAGAAGCCAAGAAAGACACTTGACTTTGAACTGCCCTTCCTGCTTTAGTGTGAGGGCCTCACTTTGATGTGTCTTATTTCAGACAGGATACTGTTGCGGGACGTGAAAGCTCTCACCCTCCACTATGACCGCTACACCACCTCCCGGAGGCTGGACCCTATTCCTCAGCTCAAGTGTGTTGGAGGCACAGCCGGCTGTGATGCCTATACCCCCAAAGTGATCCAGTGCCAGAACAAAGGCTGGGACGGCTATGACGTGCAGGTAACGGCTCCTACCGCAGCAGCGTTCCAGTGGAGTTGTGTGACACTATTGCTGGGGAGACGTGAATAGACAGAGACCTTAATGACAGACCGAAGCAAGGGTACCACTAACATTTATTGGGGGTGTGGGTGACAGGTGACTTACGGGAGCAGAAATGACTCAAGGACAGCTGCATCATCATCATCAGAAGCCACCCCAGCATGGCTGGAGCTCACCACACAACCTGCGGGCAGCTGGGCAGCTGGGAGAGTGTCTCTTGGACGTCTCCACTGCTTGTGTACACCTTCACAAGAGAGGCCGACCTGTTTACTTTCAGAGCTTACCGAGCGTCCCTGCAGGATGGAGTGTGTCACCTCCAGTTAGAACGGCAGCCTATGTCTTAATGAGCATCCCTCCAAGCTGGAGGTTTTATCTCGGTGGTAATTGACACACAGCAAATTTTAATCCATTAAACTGTTTATTGAGACATCAGTGTTTTGGAGAAACTAATATTCTCTCTTGATAAAACTTTTATGCATGGCCTGTGTACTTCAGAGTTTTGTTGTATTGTTTTTGAGACAGGTCCTCACTGTATGTAGGCCTGGTGGCCTGGATCTGGCTCTGTAGACCATGGTGGCCTCAAACTCCCAAGTGCTGGGGTTAAAGGCGTGTGCCACCATGCCTGATCTGAGCTCATGTTTGCTGGAGGTACTGGCTTCACAGCCCCTCTCCCATTATTACTTAATTAGATTTCCTGGCTAATGCAGACGTCTCACATCTATTCTATAGTACTTTGACATGTGGGTGCTAATGTGTAGAGAGCCATTTAAGCATATATTAAATGTGTCATATACCACATGACTAGGATAGCAAGAAGTCATCAAGTAGGAGAGAGAAAATAAATACTTGAATTGTGTGCATGCCAACGAAGTGGTGTGAAGCTGTGTCTGGTGGGGGCACTGATGAAGACTCAGGAGGTACAAGTGCTGGATTAGGAAGGCATTATGAAGTGGGGCCTCTCACGTGTTGGCTCATGTTTATTGGCAGTGATTTAAATTGAAATGCAGTACTCAGAATCTGCTCTAGTATGTACTGTTATAGGTTCAGCTTGTTCTGTTTACTTAAACGAGCAAATTCAGACATATTTTCCAATAAAATTAATATATAATATAGTAATAATAACAACAAAAAGAAAAATTACATATTATGTAGATAAAAAACATTTGGGCTTCAAAGAACTCATCAGGAAAGATGCCGCAAAGCTGTGTGTGGTGGTGCACGCCTTTAATCCCAGCATTGAGGAGGCAAAGGCAGGTGAATCTTTGAGTTCAAGGCCAGCCTGGTCTACATAGTGAGTTCCAGGACAGCCAGAGCTACCCTGCCTCAACTCCCCCAAAACAAAACAAAATAATAAAAATTAAAAGAAAAAAAAAAAAGAAAAAAGAGGCCCCAATCATTCCACTTCTAGGAATATATCCAAGAGAACTAAAGACATATTTCTTCCCCAAAACTATACAAATATTTGCAGGAATATTCAAATAGCTTAACCAAAAAAGCCCAAATGTCTTTGCTAATGAATAATACAATGTAGTCTATTCATAAAGTGCAGTGGTTTTTAGCCATTAAAAGTAACAAAGTGCGGATTGATGTTGTAACATGGATGAACCTTGAAAATGATACAGATTGATGTTGTAACATGAATGAACCTTGAAAATGATACAGTCACAGAGACCTACATGGCTGTGATTCTCCTCACAGGAAATGTCTCAGTAGGGTAGGCAAAGCAGTTCAGTTAGGTAGGGTGGCATGCTGGGAAAGGGATGTGGGTGGCTCTCATGGGTTGAGGTTTCCTTGGGAGTGACCATTAGATTTTAAAGCTGGTAATAGTAATGATTGTATGACTACATGAACTTCTAAAAATATTGAAGTGTGAGAATTTTCTGTGACTCATACCCCAGCAAGGCTGTTTTATAAACAGTAAAACAGTGTAGCTGAACTCGAAAGAGAAACATGATTAGAACAAAACCTAGCAGAAAGGCAGTAGACCCTGTCCTAGCCTGCGTCTCTAAACATTGTGAGGGAAGCATCTTATCTCTTCTGCAAACATGAAAGAATTGAAACTTACCTTGCTTGGTTACTTAGTTTTGGTGGAGCTGGAGCTCAGACCCCAGATGCTGTCCTGCTCTAGTCTGTTTATTTTGAGGGGAGATCTTCCAGTGTTCCCTGGCTGCTCTGGAACTTGGTCTGCCGCCTAAGCTAGCCTTGGACTTCAGACTCCTATTTCAGTACTCCACATTTCTAGCATAAATGTGGGCCATCATGTCTGGCTGAGAATACCTGCTTTCTCTGTCTCTCATCTCTGTCTCGCTCCAGTAAAATTTAAGCTAATATGGATTCTTTTTGTGTTTTCTAAGTACATCTTAAAAAGCTAAAGATTATGTAGGATTAGATCTTGTAAAGTCAGTCCATGGCTTTTACAAAATGTGTATGGGAAATTTTGTTTTGCAAAAGGTGATCTGCTGTATACAGCTGTTCGATCTTCTTATATATCGGATGCTGATTTAAAAATGTATTTTACTGGATTTACATCATTTCCCCCTCTTTCCTCTCATACTCCCTTGAGTTCATGGCCTCTTTATTATTATGTATATGGTAATATATGTAATTAATAGGGTAAATACAATGTGCTGAGTACTCACTTTTGCAAGCATGTGTATTTTTAGAGCTGACCACTAGGTATAGGATAACCAATTAGGGGACTCTTCCTTGGTGTTATTTCTTTGATTTTACCGTCTAGAGGATCTAGCTGTAGAGGAAGTACCTTCGTCAACGGTGGCGAGCAGGTCATAGTTTGGCAGTTTGTCTCAGGTTTATAAACACAAATACCTAACCTGTACGGGAAGAATATGTAGTGTACAATCTGGGGATAAGGAAAGGCAACAAAGCCAATGCTCCTCCAGCTTAAGGAGGCTGCGAGCAGAACCACCGTCTCCTCCGTGCGTAGTCTTGAATTTTGTGGATAATTTTTTGGCGTCATTTTGCAGTTTTGTGAGAGCTATGATACATATCGAAGGACAAGAATCTTGGTTCTTAGAGCCTGTTTCTCTGTCTTTCACAGTGGGAATGTAAGACCGACTTGGATATTGCATACAAGTTTGGAAAAACTGTGGTGAGCTGTGAAGGCTACGAGTCCTCCGAAGACCAGTATGTCCTCAGGGGTTCCTGCGGCTTGGAGTACCACTTGGATTACACAGAGCTGGGCCTGAAGAGGCTGAAGGAGTCTGCAAAGCACCAGGGCTTCTCTGATTATTACCACAATCTGTACTCCTCCGATTCCTGTGGCGTTAGCGGGCTGGTTACCATTGGAGTGCTCCTTGCTCTGGCCTTTGTGGTTTATAAACTGTTCCTCAGTGATGGCCAGGCCTCTCCTCCACCCTACTCCGAGTACCCTCCATATTCCCAGCGCTATCCGAGGTTTACCAATGCTGCAGGAGCACCTCCGCCAGGCTTTAAGTCTGAGTTCACAGGTATGTTGCCCTGCTCAAGGGCAGTGAGTGGGTTGCATGTGAGCAGGTGAGTCTTGTGTCTGTCTCTAAAGAAGAGACTAATTGCATCTGGAAACAAAACATTTGTCTGTTTACTGGATTGAAAAAGAAATCTCTTCCTTTTTCAAAAAAGGTTAAAAAAATGTATGTGTCTTCGTACATGTGTGGGTGCTTGTGGAGGCCAGAAGTGGGTGTCAGATTCCCTGGGGCTGGAGGTACAGGTGATTCCATTTAGCTGTCTGATATATGTGCTAGAAACCAAACTTGAGTCCTCTGGAAGAGCAGCAAGTGCTCTTAGTCATCAAACTATCTTTCCAACCCTTCTTTTTTTCTAAAGAAAAATGAAGAAATATGTATTATTGTGCATGTGCATTTTATTTGTGTGTGGGGTGAATGTGCCATGGTGTGGATGTGGAGGTCAGAGGATAACCATAGATGGTCCTCCCCTTCCACCCTTACCTGGTTTTATGTGGGGTTGAACTCAAAATGGTCACCATTGTACAGCACCTTTCCCAGCTCAGCCAGTGATCACTGGCTGCTGCTCTGCTTCCAACAGTGCATTGTGCTCACTGTTAAAGACACCTGGTAAATTGTAGATCATCATTTTAGCTGGAGAACACAGTCAGATTTGTTAATAAGCATTATTTTGACTTCTACATCATACTATACACAAAAATGAACTCATTAAGTATCATAGAACTTAACATAAGAAGTAAAACAACTTACTAGAATGAAATAGGAGAATATAGGTAAGTTTTCCTATGTGTGTGTGTGTTTGAGACAGAGTCTCACTGTGTAGCCCTGCTGTCTTGAACCAGCTCTATAGACCACACTGGGCTCGAACTCACAGAGATCTTCCCACCTCTGCCTCCCAAGTGCTGGGCTTAGAGGCCTGCGCCACCACATCTGCCCAGATAAAGATTAATAGCACAGAAAGTACTAGCTGTAAAAGGAAAGATGGTAAACTAGAGTTTACTTAAGTTGAGAATGTCTGTTTATCAGAAATGAAAGGGGCAGGTCACAGATTGGGCTAAGGAATTTGTCAAGCATGAGCTGGAGGGATGGCCTGTTAACAGCGAGGCTCACAACCAAAAAGACAAGAATTGTAAAACATACCGCAGACTGTGACTTGTGTCTCGACTTTAAAGACATCCATAAACCTGAGAAAAGGCACATCATTCAAACTGGGCAGAGGGATTCGGTTAGATGTCAGTGGGTAAAGAGTTTGCCCCCGAGCTTGGTGACCTGAGTTTGATCTTCAGGACCAGGGGTGGAAGGAGAGAACCGGCGCTTGTAAGTGGTCATCTGACCTCTGTGCATGCATGCTGTGGTGCTGTGTACACCCCCAAATAAATGTCTAATAATCGAACATTGAGCAGAGGATTCAAAGAGCCATTCTATAAGGATATCCACAGCTGGAGAGATGGCTCAGTGGTTAAGAGCACTTACTGCTCTTTCAGAAGACCTGGGTTCAATTCCCAGTACTCACGTAGCAGCTCACAACTGTTTAAAAAAAAAATCTAGTCTCAAGAGTATCCCATGCCTTCTTCTGTCTTCCTTGGGCACTAGGGATGCATGGTCATGGAATGGACAGAATTAAAGTATCAGAAGTCTGAGTACTGTTTATCTCAGCTAACATCCAGTGGGTATCTGTTGGGTGTTGTCACGAACTGTCTGAGGTGCTCAATTGGTTTATTGCTGTGGGTGGTGGTTACATGGAGGGACAAAGAGTATGCTTATTGTTCCATAGGCCGCGTATATAAGATTCGCATGCTTTCCTAGGTGCATACCATGTTTACAGTTTCCCCAAGGGGAAGATGATGTTTGTGGTTTGGCATCATAATTGATAAATGTCAGGCTGCCTTTTCCATTAGAGACTTAGGTAAAGTTCTCACCTGGAGTTCTCATAGCATAGAAAGGAAGACTCTGAAAGTGGTCTTCCTTCTAGTTCTTATCTTCTAGAAACTGATCTTGAGCAGGGGAGATAATCCTGTAGAAAGACTATCCTTGCAAGTACTAACAATCTCTCTCAATCTCTCTTCCTGTGGGAAATGTGTACCTGAGTTGTGAGCCAATATTTTATAAATATCCCTTTTGAATTCAGCTTATTCACGAGTTGAGGGCTGAACATTATTAGTAGTACTGTACAGATGAAATAATGAAATGTCATGTGTCTATGAAGGCACTTCATCTAATAGAGTGTGTTTTATTTTAAGGACCACAGAATCCTGGCTTTGGGAGTGCTTTCACAGGACAAGGCTGTGACAGTTCAGGGCCGGGGTTCTGGACTGGCGTGGGTGCCGGAGGACTGTTAGGGTATTTGTTCGGGAGTAACAGGTAAGCTTTGCCCTCATCATTTGCCCTTAGCTCCGCCAGGTGCCTTTGCTTTGCTTACGAAGCGTTGCATGCTTTGCATTAGGTTTTGTAAGGGAAACCAGTGATGGAGATCTTGCCCTCTTCAGTGTGGTTTTTGCATAGAGGGGAAGGCGCGGGACTTTGGTTTGCTTTGGTCAGTGTTGTGCTTTATGCCTGTTACTTTCCTTCCCTGTCTTCCTTCCTGTGCTACCCTAAGAGACAGGAGGAGGGCTGTGGGCCTGACACTGAGCACATGTGGAGAAGGCAGAGGACACCACAGTTGGGGAAGGGGCAGGTGGCAGTCCGGCGGGGGGAGTGATAGAGGGAGGCTTGGAAAAGAGCTTGGGGCCAGTCTTGGAATGGCTTGAGTTTTATGGTACTCTGAACTCAGACTTTGGCTGGGAATTCAGAAAGAAGGGCTGCTTACTTCCTCACACTTTCTATTCCTACAGCAGTGTCTGTAACTGGCAGATGTAGACACCAAATTTGTGTCATGGTAAAAAAAAATATTCGATAAAGATAGCAGTTTTCTAGTGACTTAGGAACAGGGAAATAATGGTGGTGAGATGCTTAACTCATTTTTATGTCTCTAAGGGCGGCGACCCCCTCGTGGTACTACCCATCTCACCCTCCGTCATACTCTGGCGCCTGGAATAGTCATACCTACTCACCACTGGGTGGGGGTGCGGGGACTTATTCTGCACCCTCAAGCTCCAATGCAGACTGCAGAACCAGAACAGCATCAGGTAAGTGCAGAAGCTGCAGAATGTGCAGGGAAGTGTGAAAATGTGTGAGCAGTCGTGACTCCATTGGGTGTGTCCACCTAAGACCCCTGAGTGTGAGCAGTCAGGACTTTATTCGGTGTGTCCACCTAAGACCCCTGGGTGTGAGCAGTCAGGACTTTATTTGGTGTGCCCACCAAACGTGTTAACACAGTTAACTGAGACTGAAACCAAATTCAAATTCATTCTTTCCACTTAAATATTTCCTAAAAGTGACTTGGAAATTAAACCTTCTTGGATGTTAGTGTCTATAAACGTTTAACTCCAGAGTCTTTGAAGCTCTCAGCCAGACCCTTCAACGTTTGTAGAGTTCTGGCCTTTCAAATTCAAGAGAATTACAAAATATACTGAGTTAGACGTTTAAAAAAATGTCAGCAGTGGGCTGGAGATAGGCTCAGTTAAGAGCACTGACTGCCTTTCCAGAGGACCCTGGTTCAATTCCCAGCACTCGTATGGCAGTTCACAACTGTCTGTAACTCCTGTTCTGATGCCTTCACACAGACATACCTGCAGGCCAAACACCAATGTACATAAAATAAAAAAAAAAAAAAGTTTGGACGCTTCCCTTCCTTTAAAAAAAATGTCAGCAGTGTGATTATACTATTTAAAGAGTGAAGAGGACATTTTATAGAAAGGAAAGATACAATGTGAAAAACAACCAAACACCCACGAACTACTGTTAGAGGTGGTGGGCAATGAGGCATTTGCAGATTTCCCTGGACTGGTTGACTTTCTCCAGAAGGAAGACACAAAGCAAAGAATAATCGATGAAGTTGACAGAAACATATATAAATCGTGTAGAAATGTAAGAGTAGAATTCTTAGTGCTGGTTTGGATATAAATGACATAATCACTTTACCTACTAACCTTGAACCTAGACATCCCCAGGGCCCAGCAATTCCACTCTCAGTTGTAACCATTCCTCGTGTAGAGATGGTGGTGGTATTGCTTCCAGAACCCCAGGCATAACGAACCCCATGGATGCTCGAGTTCCCTATAAAGATGGCATAGTATTTGCATATCAGCAGTGCAGCATGCCCTCTGAACCGCCTGTGGTCCTCAGACAGTGCACACGTTATGTGTGTGGTTGCTACACTGTGATGTTTAGAGGACAACAAGGAAAATGCTATGTGTGGACTACAGGGGCATCCCTAAAAAGATATATTCAAACTTGAATTGGTTGAGTTCATGGACGTGGAAACCACAGACATGGAGGGGCAGCTGTATTTCAGCAACAGAGGTACATGCACTCCTTGAACTGACCGATAAGCTCAGCTATGTTCCAGACTATTGAGAGCCTGTTTGTTAGGGTGTATATGGGGTGATGGATGGGTGAGTGGTATCCAAGCGACACATTAAAAAGATTTAAAATTCATGACTCCTTCCTCCGTTTCTTCCGTTTACCCCTGAGTTTGAGTTGGGAGAGGTCAGCAGGACATGGCTTATGGTCCATTGCCCTCTCCGCATTTTTAGCTTAGACGTTGCATATTCATAGTTATTTGCACGTTGGCGTATTGCCTGCATGTTAGCTTACAATGGAGCTCTTCTTTGGTTTCCCGATAGCAAGTATGTGTGAGGTTCTGAGACTTGATGACCGGGAAGAGCTGCCTTGTCCCACAGCATCCTGTTCCACCTCGTGGTGCGTTGTAGCCTCCCCTCATAGCTCGCTTTCTTGTTTCCTAACAAGAAACATGTACAACTTGTGCAGTTTTATAAGCAGTTTTCCTACACTGTGAAAAGCTAATGTCGACTTTATTTTTCTCACCCAGGATATGGCGGCACCAGAAGGCGGTAAAATAGGAAGTTGGAGGCAAACATTGGATGCAGCGTTTCTGATTGTCGTTACCATCTCTTTAACACCTGGATAATGGGAATACCCAACAGTTGTGTGGTGTTTTGTCCTTGTATAGCTTTTCCTGTCCTGTTGTTTGTGGCCAAGAGTTGATATGTGACAGAGTGCTTACGTTGTGTGTGTTAGTGTAGTGTGCCGTTCAAAGTGACGGCTACGGTGGGATGCCGAAATTGTCCTGCTTGTTCCTAAAGCCTGTGATACCAGAGGGGGCATTAAGGATGTAGAATCCCCTCCCAGAAACTGAGCACAGCCAGCTTGAGCCGAGGCGCCTTCAGTTGATGAGTCCTCCCCTCAGAGAAACAGCAATCCTCTATTTGGTATTAAAACATTTGGCGTTTGCTGTTCTTCAGACACTTAAGCCCAGCACTGGGCCACTAATCACACTGATTTGTGGGTTCCAGTCACTTGACTGGCAGAGCCCAGACCCCTCCTGTGGTGGTGAGTGTGTCTGTTAAATGCTCTTGACCTTTCAACTGTGCTCACAGAGAGCTTGAAATCACTAGATTTTCAGTTTTCAGGTGATAACATTCAGATGCTTCAGAAACAGTTTTTCAGTAGGAAGAGCATGTCGTTCTCTGTATGGTCTTAAGCTGTCGGGTGTTGTTGTAACAGTCTGTTTCAGCTTTACGTTAAATGACAATAAATTAAAAACCAGGATGTATACTCATTCTTTGTACACAAGTAGGTGTGCTCGCGCCCCCCCCCCCCCCCCGCTTTTTTTTTTTCTCCCTTTCATCCAGAGGGACGGACTTTGTGCAGAAGCTGTGTTTCCTTGAATAGGAATCTGATTCCTGCCATGGAATCTCTGGCCCATGGCTGCTTTGTCAGAAAACGGAGACAGGAACTGGCGAAGCAGAAGGTATTTACAGTTTGTCCAGAACTAGGGACCAAAGAGAACATTTCAGTCTCTCTCTGCTGTAGCAGCCCTGCTGTTTCTTGTGTGGTTTCCTTGTCTCACACCAGGCACCAGCTGCCTGGTAAACATTTTCCAAATCACTTTCGGTGCTGGAATGAAGGCACAGTGGCCAAGAGCTTGTACTGCTCTTCCGGATGACCTGAGTTTGGTTCCTAGCACCCAGGTCAGGCAGCTCACTATTGCCTGTACTCTAGTTCCAGGGAGAGTGGTTGTCTCTGGTCTCCAGGGGCACCTGCACTTACATGGTGCACATACTCATACACAGACACACCAATAGACATGATTTAAAAAATCTCAAATCATCAAAACAAGACAGAACGTAGGCTGAGAGTTATGGTGCACACCTTTAACGCAGTACTCAGGAAGCAGAGGCAGGCAGAGTTTGAAGCCAGCTAAGGTTCCACAGTGAGAAACCCTGTCTCTAACAAAGTGAAACAAAAACGTAGGGGGCTGGAGAGAGTTCAGTGGCTAAGAGTACTTGTTCTTCCGAAGGACCCAAGTTTGGTTCCCAGTACCTGTGTTGGGCAACTCAATTGCTCTTTCCAACTCCTGGAGATTTGACCCCCTGAAGGTGGTGCTGTCTGTTTCTCTGTCTCTCTGTCTCTCTCTCTCTCTCTCTCACACACACACAAATAGATCTAAAAAATTTTTTCAGAGTGGTATGAGAACAAATTGTTTCTTTTAATTAAATCTCCAAGTCTCCCGACCCACCAAAGATTACATTTTATTTACCATTGAAGACCACAGATTGGGCTGGATTCAGTTCCGATAAGTAGACAGAGAGACACACAGATTTTGTAAAGCTGGGGAAACTGAAACCCTGAGTTCTGATGCATCTTCCTTGCCCATGGAAACAGCCCCACCTCTGAGAAGAAAACCCCCCTCTGCCTGAAGGGCGTGTGATAGTCTCCAGAGATGTTCCCTGCAAGGCGCGGCTGAGTCTCCTCAGAAGCAGTTCCTCCCCACTCTGCTTTACACCTAGACCTGTGCCTAGACCCACGTTCCAGGAGGCACCAAAGGGTGAGGTGTGATGCATGAGAGGGTGTACTACACACAGGAGCCACCGTACTCGGGAGAACGGAATTTTAGGATTTAAGATTTAGGTCTTACCATGTAAGACCACCCGCCTCGGGAGAGGCCAGAGAACACACTCCCCAGCATATGTGACTGCTCCTAATAGGTTCCAGTAGAGGTAGAGGCTTCCTGTGGCCTTGTGCTGACTATAATATTCTTATTACTTTCTTTGGGTGATGATGCTGTTAGTAGGTGTATATTGCCAGTGGTAGAATAATACCACATGTGCATTATGGATAGTGTGGTACTGAAATGTATTTACTGTGGTTTTTTTGATCAGTATTTTAGACTACAGCCATGTAAAAAGTCTGCTGTAAAAATACTCACGTTGCAGCCTCATACATCTTGTGCTTACCTCCTGATTACTTTCGCTTGTGTTTGGTTTAATCTCATGTTGTTGGGTGCACCACCATGTGGAGCAGTTGCTTGATTAAGGAGCCTGCCATCCTGATAAGCATTTATCCTATTGAACTTTCTCCCAGTCTCCAGGACCAATGGCTGCTGACTAAGGGAAGTGTGCACCGAGGAAAGAAGCAGCCAGATGTTGAGAGGATTGCTGGATGCCCCCTCTGACCTGACAGGAATCCCTGACCATCATTGTAATGTGCTCGCCACAGAGCAGTGTAGACGAATTTCTAAACAGTCTTATTAACTACCTTATCTTACCACCTTGCCGAGGTCGCTTCCCCAGAGAGCTTCTTCCCATCTAACTTGTATTTTTATTGCCTTCCTGTTCTGCCTACTCATTGACTCTAAGCCCAGCCACATGACTGCCTGTCTATACAGACCTCCAGGTCTCTATGGTTGGTACTACGACTAAAGGCGCATGTCACCATGCTTGGCTGTGTCCTTGACCACACAGAGACACTGCCTGTCGTGTGATCGGATTAAAGTCGTGTGCCACCACTGCCTGACTTCTGTTTATGGCTACGTGACTTCACTATGTAACCTCTGATCTCCAGGCAAACTTTATTTATTAACATACAAATAAAATCACATTTCAGCACAATTAAAATATCACCACAGAGCAGGACCTATTGAAGTTAGATAACCAATGCAGTTTCAGCTCAGAGCCTTCTCAGTGATTATCCATCGCAGGACATCTATCCTGTGTTTTCCTGGTCTGTAATTCCTGGTTAGACATATGGAGAAACTGGAGGGATCACCACATAGGCTCCCTGAGGGGCTCTTAGGATGGGAGAAGCCAAGTAGAAGTCACTAGAGCCGTCTCTGCAAGGACTGCCTTCAGTATCTCAACAGGGCTGTTATGATGGACGCTGCAGTCTTGGGGCACATGAGCATGTAGGGACTGCAATTATAAGGAAGATGGCAATGTGCACGTTAGAAATGATGGGTGCTGGCGATAGGGCTGGAGTGATGAAGGGGATGAACACAGAAAATGTATAACTCAAAGCATGGTCTTTAGAGTCATAGTAAATGAAACTTGTTAAGTCAGCATGCAGTTATACTGGTGTAGAAGAGCTATGAGTGACTACTTCACTAGCTCTCCTATTTCTGTGACAGTACCTGACAAACTTGAAGAGGAAAGGTTTTCGCCTCATGGTATCAGAGGTCAGGGAGGGTGTGGAGAGCAGAAGAATTCACATCATGGTGGCCAAGAGGCAGAAAAACAGCAAGGCCAGGGCAAGAGAAAGCCCTCACGGATACATCTTCAGTGACCTTTCTCTAACTAGGTACCCACTCTTTATCTTTAACCATCTCCCAATAATGCCATCATATTTTGAATCCATCAGGGACTTAACCCAGACACCACCAAGGTATGTTTTACTAATGCATATAGTTTGCACTCCACTCAAGTTGGCAATGTGTGGGAGGAGTCTGCTCACACCTTTTGAAGGGTTCTTAGGAGGAGGAGAAAGGGATAAGAAAATATCAGAAAGAGACCCAGACAATGAGAAGAAAGAGACACAGCATAGCTTTGGGAGGGCCTGGATCAATACCCAACAGCCTCGTCCTTTATTGAAAATGGCTTTTTACAATATGCCAAGGGGAGAGGCAAAAGACCTCCCCCCTTGCAAGATCAAAGCACACCGTACAGCCAAGTGTAGACCCTTCCAAATACTTGGTAACTACACTCGTGGTCAAATCATCCCATTTTGCAGTCCTGCTGGGTAAAGCAAGCTCAGATTCTCTGACCATGAGTAATTTCTCACTAGATAGCTTCTGAGGGCTCCCACAGCAATTAACCATTAATTACAACTCATGTCATAAAATGGGGGAAATAGACACAAATGCACATGTAGAGAAAATCATGCAAAGATTAGAATTAATGTCACACACCAAGGTATGACACAGATCAACAAGCTACCAGGAGCTCAGAGAAAGGCCTGGAGCAGATCCTTCCTCGGCACCATCAAAAGGATTAGGGCCCTGCTTATGTCTTTATCTCAGACTTTCAGCCCCCCAAATGTAAGACCATAGATTCTTAAGTCGAAAGCAACACCCCATTTCTGCAGGGATTGCAGAGATGAGTGACACCATGAAAAGCCTGCAGGATGCAGGGTTGAGATTCAGCCCACATCCTCACTCAGTTCACCATTTGGCCTGTGCAGAAAGCAGATCTGTGAGAGTATTAGTTCTAAGTTTATTCAGGTGGTGACTCCAGTTGCAGACGTGGGTTTCATTACATCATTCCACAAACACATTAAGTACCTGACATGCAGCTCTCACACTGGTAAAGGCTTCCCCTCTATACCCCTTAGACTCCCAGAGGCAGCTTGCAGTTGGCAAGGTCAGCGGTACACCTTCACTTTCTTACCTCAGGAGGGTATTCGTTCTCCAGCCCTGTGACATGATGCACAGTCAGTCACACTGTCCACACCTTTCCTCTCTAGACTTCAAACCAGTTCACGATACTGATGCTATCCAGCTGGTTGCACCAGGTGAACAATACTTAGCATATACTCCAGGTGTATTGGTAGGCTCTTTGTATGCTCGAGGGTGAGAAATAAATCTGACAAAAATTCAGGGGCCTTTTACCTAGTGGGATTCCTAGGGATCCAGTGGTAAGGAGTATGTGGAACTATCCCTGCACCGGAGGATACATTGTGAGCAATCCTGTTCTCTAATGCCATCCCAACCTCCCTTCACTTCCAGAGATTAAGTTGTAACCCTAGGTCAGGAGCAAGTCTGCAGACATGAGTTAAAACAGCTGGGAGAGGAGAGCTGTGGTGCAAGGCTATGCGATGTGTTACAGCACTGAGTACTTCCTGGGGAGACAGGGCCACAACTCCTTTGCAGGCCACCCACTCTGAGAAGAAAAGGCACCATGCTTGGTAGGACTTTGAAGGCAACTTACTCCGTCCAGAGCGCTACCCTGGTGTACTTACGGACCCCAAAGCTGCTGGTTTTCATGGGCCTACAGTTAGAGAAGGCTCTGTAACAATTGCAGGCTATAGTGTCAGCCAGGGTGACACAGTTAGAAGGTCATCTTTAGTAACTGACATCTGTCACCTTTCCAGATAGTTCCTATCTCCTTCCTACTTTTCCTCATTTAAATTTGGTGCTTCTCATTCAATTTTTTTTTTTTTTTTAATGAGAGGAGATTTCTTTCTCTGTTTCGTGCAAGGCTGTGTCTCTGCTTCCTGAAATATCAAATAGGGTTGCAGCAAGAAATAGATGGCACAGTCAAAGCAGAGTA